TTGATTTTAGATTATGTTCAATTATGGTATACTTACAAGCAACGTTACCAGGGCAATCACGGCCAGTCATTTTCCCAGCGGCGCTCACGAGCGCTTCAACGGTCTTACCCAGAAATGATATCATATCAGGTGTCACGCTAKTCATGTTGTCACACGRYTGATGGTAACACGTTTTCATAAAACCCCGGAAATCAGCTGTGTCTGTTACGAATACCGCTGGCCATGACATTGCACCGTTCCAAAAGTTGGCGTGGTCGCTCCTTAGGAAGTGTGAGAAGCCTGCTTGTTGCATGGGGGGAAGATCTGTCGTCTTCCCGCTAAACGGCAATGGAATATTCATTGCTTTGAAGCGTCCTGAAAGCAAAGCATTCCTTATAGCACTTTCTATTGATTCACTTTAACTACAGCCATGTCCTCGTTTCAATGGTCTCCTTCACGGTTCCCTCGGCCATCTTGAAAGGTAGCCGTGACTTATGTAAAAGCGAGACGACTTTTGAGCGTGCAATGTTAGATACCTGGGAATAATTGTCTGTAGGTGTGAAAGAAGGTTTCTTTCATTGGGTTTCTTTCATTGCACGCTCGACGGTCGTCTCGCTTCGATGCAAAGGCACGGCTACTAAAATGGCGCAGGGGACCGTGAAGAAGACTATTGTTTTTTTTTTTAATATATAGGCGGATCTTTGTTTACAAAATTCGCCCATATATGAAAATAAATAAACACAAAGTTTTCTTGTGTTGAAACCCCAACCTTGTGGATAGTTTCCAGTAAGGTTAGYCATCAGTTCTTTGTCATCGTCTTTTCTTCCAATGACAGCAAGAAAGTCTCCTCTGAACTCGTTTTTTTCTATTATAGCATACTCCGTTGGTATGACGAGGTTAGAGCCAAAAGGGAGACCTTGTGACTTGGGTGTAGTGTCGTAGTTCAGGATTGTCTCAAGAATAAATGCCCCTTGCATTCCAATGCCGGTGTTGTTCAGATGCCTTGAAGAAAAATCAAAACCCAATTGGAAAAAACGCGCGCTTTAAAGGTTGTAAATTTGATGTAAATACAATAATTTACATCAAATTTACAGAATTTTGGACACTTACATCATATTTCAAGACACGCGCGCTCACTGGAGGTAAAGCTGTGGACATGCGCAGTGTGTTTTTCACCAGTGTCGTCTTATCCTCAAATCGGAAAAGATTCAAATTTCCAGAGCTATGTCAACATCTTTTATGCTTCTTTGTTAGTGGTAAGGACTCTGCGCATTGAACGGGAAAAAAGGCTTATTCACCTTGTTAGATTTTTG